AATTCTAAGACTTTCAAATTTCCACGCCTGTAAAGTCCAAATTTGTGTAACTGCACATTGCATTCACGTCACGCTTTCGGTCCTTCATGTAACTGGTATTGTAATCTGGCTACGCTAATTCCAGCAGCTAAACTTGTTGCTAAATTGCAATTTCGTCGGTGCAAAGTTAGGATTTCAAATATACGATTGCACAAATGAATCCCACTGAAATTTTGCCTTTTACAAAATTCAATAATATTTACAGTACTATTACTTACATCACACATATGTATATAAAACAACCCTGCTTCATCGTTTTTTATTGTCCCATTCGCGTTCTAAAATGTTGACGAAAAGAGTCTGAAATTGTTTTTCGATAAAGAATGCGTGTGCACGGAACAAGTAGCACAATGGCGGACGGAAGCTTGTACGCGTTGTGTTTGTGGATTTGTTTGGCAGTAAATCGAGCAGCACACCGAAAGTACAATTGATGCTGTTATTGAACCAATGCGTTTGAGCTAACCGATTCAAGAGAATTTCAAGAGAGGCGTTTTGTTACTGTTAACAAATCGGAGAACAAAAAGAACAAGCGTGAGTTAAATGTAGTTTATGGGTCTAATAAGGTTGAATGAATTAATGAAATAAATTAGGGTTTAAGTAAAATTCATAGCTCAACAGATAAAGCACTGTGTTCAGTAATTTTGCAATAACGAACAATTAGAATTATTACAAAAATTGTTACTAAAAAAAGAAACTTGCATTGAGATTAACACTAACTGCTCTAGCCTAAATTACACAAATGTTAACATTGAGTCAAGTGTGCCTCAACATCACATTTCTCTTGGATCTTAAAAATAATTCAAATAAATAGATGCTTGAATATATTTACTATTTATAATAAATTAAAGATGTACTTGTCACTTGGATCTTAAAAATAATTTAAATAAATAGAAGCTTAAATATATTTACTATTTATAATAAATTAAAGATGTACTTGTCACTTGGATCTTAAAAATAATTTACATAAATAGAAGCTGGAATATATTTACTATTTATAATAAATTAAAAATGTACTTGTCACTTGGATCTTAAAAATAATTCAAATAAATAGATGCTTGAATATATTTACTATTTATAATAAATTAAAAATGTATTTGTTGCTTGGATCTTAAAAATAATTCAAATAAATAGGAGCTTGAATATATTTGCTATTTATAATAAATTAAAAATGTACTTGTCACTTGGATCTTAAAAATAATTTACATAAATAGAAGCTTGAATATATTTACTATTCATAATAAATTAAAAATGTACTTGTCACATGTCCAGATTGCAATATATTTTATATAGAGAATCCCTTTTTGATCAAATTTGTAAATAAAGGAGTAGTTATAAAAATTAATTGCAAAAGATTAAGAATAGAGAAATGAAAATTGTTCAAAATTGAAGTACAATGCTCCTTAGGGAAATGAAACTCCATAAGCAGACAAAAAAAAGCGACGCCATTAAGTAAATAATAAAAATTAATTGCAAAGGGTTAAGAATAGAGAAATGAAAATTGTTCAAAATTGAAGTACAATGCTCCTTAGGGAAATGAAACCCCATAAGCAGTCGAAAAATAGCGACGCCATTAAGTAAATGAAAACGAAGAAAATGGTCGTTTTCATTATGGAGATTAACGCGAGTAAAAGTTAACATTGTGAAGCAACTAGAACGACACGTGGTCGGAACGTGTCAAGTGATAGGATGGATGACAAGCAGAGGGACACGTGCAAGAGACATCTAAACAGCTGCAAAGACAACTCGCATGACGGACAGTGTCTCCTGAACAGAGAATAGAACGGAGACAGGATCACGGGGAAGATGGACTCCCTTGCCTCTGGGGATTGTTCATAAATTATGGACGCGTTAATTATAATAGAGTTTCCGGACCGTTTATCGACTTGACGGCTTTAGTTAAAACATCCTGTCGACCATCATCTTTCGTTGTCAGAAAACGTTAATCGGTTTGGATGTTCATTGTGGAGAGATCGTTAGCGGATTATCAATAATATTGTTAATTGGAAAATTGATCACTTGACTGAGGAACTGAATTAGTGTCAACACGTAATTGTTACGTAAGTGATGATTGTACTATACAGTTTAAATAATTAACAAATCAAATTAAATAAATAGGTGTCAGATTAATCATCATCAAATTAAGAAATGAAATTAGTATCAAAACATAATTGATACTTAATTGATGGAGGGACTCTATTATTCCCTTTAAATAAATATTAAATTAAATTAATTAAATAGTTATCAAATTTATCATCATCAAATTGAGAAACTGATTTACTATCAATACCTAATTATTCAATTGACCTAACAATTAATATTACACGCTGTATTTATTGAATTAATTAAATTTGTCTCCTAAAATTTCTTAATTTTCCAAGACAGTAATTTTTGAATTTTGATTTCTTAAAAAAAGAGTCGTTTATATTTTTTGCTTTTAAAGTAATTCGAGGAAATTCTTCAGTAATACTATAAATCTTAACAGAACGGAGATTCCAACTTCAAATTCAGTTTCGAATTGTCGACAAATCGGACACGTTAATTAATCACGTTCATCGAGTAACAACGTTTTGGGATTCGAAGCGGAACCAGCACGTTTTCGTTGCTTTTCACCGAGAATACTGTCTGAACATCGTCGCATAAAGCTTCGATTATGCGCTTCGAGCTAGATACACTGTCGGAGATATCGATAATCGAAGCATGAACGCTCGCACAAACGGCTGAATACTATCGAAGCCGAAACAGATATTGTTTCAACAATTTTCTGAAATAAATGGTGCGTGACAGTGCGGTAATCTAATCTATACCGTTAATTAATACTACTCGGAATACTCGTATTGCTCTTAAACAATTTCTCAAATAAAATTATTCTTATCATTATACATTGCATCATTATACAATTATATAACGTATCATTAAGTTTATAATAAATCATTAATTTCATTATGTCCACAATAAATTATTTCTTGAAGCAAGATCTATTTCATGAAATAAAAATTACACTAATCAAAACAAACTTACGCTACAAGATTGATATGTAGTGATTCGCAGCGTAGTAATTCGACGCGTGGTAATTTGACGCGAAGGTATTCGGCGCGTGGTAGTTCGATACGTGGTAATTCGACGCGTGGTAATTCTACGCGTGGGTATTCGGCGCGTGGTAATTCGATACGTGGTGATTCGACGCGTGGCAATTCAATATGTGGTGATTCGACGCGTAGTAATTCGACGCGTGGTAATTTAACACGTGGGTATTCGACGCGTGGTAATTCGATACGTGGTAATTCTACGCGTGGTAATTCTACGCGTGGGTATTCGGCGCGTGGTAATTCGACGCGTGGTAATTCGACGCGTGAGTATTCGACGCGTGGTAATTTGACGCTTGAGTACTCGACGCGTGGTAATTCGATATGTGGTGATTCGACGCGTAGTAATTCGACGCGTGGACATTCGCCGCGTAGTAATTCGACGCGTGGACATTCGCCGCGTAGTAATTCTATATGTCATGATTTGACGAGTGAAAATTCTTAAAAACTTACACAATAACTCCTCATAAAATTGCCTCAAATAAAAATTTTAGCTCTTTCAAGGAATAATGTCAGTATCGTTTAAATATACCTATACATTAAAAATTTTCGAATTGCAAGAAAGAATCAAAGGTTTTCGGAATCCTCGAAAATTCATTTTGAAAACGTCGCGAGGGATTCATGTACCGCACAGAAGAAAAAATTCGCGAGCAGACTTTTCCGAGCCGTTTCAAAAAAAAAAAGTAAGGAAAGAAAGATGGAGAATTATGAAAAACATTAAGGGTAGAGCGAGCCACTCGTTAAAAAGTAATTGCGCGAACTGCTTCGCAATAACTGAATATGGAGGAGCGAAAGTAAAGCGAAAAGGAAACCGGCCACTGCTTTCTTCAGCGTTCGCTGAAAAATTATCATGCTGCTGCTTTTTCATGCATTCAAAAGTCTGGGTTCTTCTTTAGTCGTTTGAAGGTACGACTCTATTTTTTAGTACGAATTTCGGTTGGGAGATGCATGAATACCGTGGTATCACTGAAAAACAGCATACCAATAGCTGACACTGCTTTCATTTCGATTATTAATCACTGCGTGTTTTGGGGGAAATAGAATATTGGTTTGCTCTGAATTAAATTAAATCTGAATTAAATTCTCTCATTCAATATTCCCTGAAAACTATAGGTTAGGATACTTAGTTCCCATGGAAGGACACCTATACTTCGCCATAGTCCCCAGAGTCTCCACAGTTCCAGACCCCCAGATTCCCTATATATCCACAGTTTCAGTCCCCAGTGCCAAGTTCGCTAGGACCTCCACAATCCACAGTCCCTCGGATCCCCAGGTCCCCACATCCCCACATTCTCTACAGTTCCCGAATTCCCCAGATTCTCACAGTCCTCGGAATCGCCATATTTCCTAGCTTCCCAGAATCCCTACGTTCCCTTGGATCATCACAGTCTCTACTGTAGACAAGCCAGGAGTTGGCGCGTAGGTCGAGCCAGAGTAAAAGAAGTCACTCGCTCCACCTAACCACCGTGAACACTTCCAGTTACATTTCGGCAAATAAGAATAATGACCATAACTGCTGGACGCGATTCGCGCTATCTCGAGACGTTTGCCGACTGTCATTTTTGGTCCAATTGGTGCGAGCCGATATACCGAAAAAGGCGTCCATTTTTCTGTTCTGATAGTCTGAACAGCTGGGTCTCGCGCCAGCTGGTGGGTTGACTACGGTACACTTTTTGTCTCACAAGTTAGTCCTAGGTTAGTCTCCACATTTCCTGTCATCTTTTAATGACTCCTATCATCTGCATGATTCTCAAGTTACCTAGCTTATCTTTATACAGCGATTATACTGTTTATGTACCAATCATTTATGTCTCATAACCATGAAGGATACTACAACTTGTCCTAGGCAAATAACGTTCACGAAATTATAGTACTTACCGCATTATTGGCATGCGTTTGATCCGTTTTCAGTTCCCGATGATTACTGAACTGCACGTAAACCGGTCTGCCTCGAAGCTGAGCGATACACGACGCATAATAGCTCACTATCGTTGCCGCAGCATTTTCATCCGCCATTTCCAGAAATGCCTGCAACAGAAATCAATAATCCTAATAAACATCATGGTAACCGATAAATTTCAAACTGTCTGAATGAATAACCAATTCGTAATTTTACAAAAGATCAGTGACATCAAATCCCCAAATCTTCAAATATTCAAACCTTCAAAATCTTCAAATCTTTGAATCCTCAAAATCCCCAAACGCTAAAGTCCTCAAATTTCTAAATATAAAAAATTTTCAAATTCCAAAATTCTTCTCACATTTTGAGAGGAATCCATTTTGCATTGAATTGGGATATGTAGGAATTAACATATGTAGAAATTGGGATATGTGAGAATGGATATAGGTGGAAATTGAGGTATGTGGAAATTGGGATATGTGGAAATTGACATATGTGGAATTGGGATATGTGGAATTTGGGATATGTGAAATTGGGATACGTGGGAATTGACATATGTGGAATGGGGATATGTGGAAATTGGGATATATGGAATTGGGATATGTGAAATTGGGATATGTGGAATTGGGATATGTGGGAATTGACATATGTGAAATTGGGATACGTGGGAATTGACATATGTGGAATGGGGATATATGGAATTGGGATATGTGGAAATTGGGATATGTGAGAATTGACATATGTGAAATTGGGATATGTGGGAATTGACATATGTGAAATTGGGATACGTAGGAATTGACATATGTGGAATGGGGATATATGGAATTGGGATATGTGGAAATTGGGATATGTGGAATTTGGGATATGTGGAATTGGGATATGTGGAAATTGACATATGTGCAATTGGGATACGTGGGAATTGACATATGTGAAATTGGGATATGTGAAATTTAGGATATGTGGGAAGCCTACAAAATTAAAAAATCATAAAGTCCCAAATCTCGAAAACTCCCAAAATGCTAAAATCCCAAATTTCCATAAATTCCAAGCTCCATAAATCCCACACTGGTAAAATATCACTGTAAAATGAATAGAGTGTGCTCCTGAAACTTCAGCATAGTTATTTTAAATCAGAAAACCATTTACGTCGATAATTTATGTACAACAATAAATTATGCACTCAACGTAGCACGATACGGAAAGAAATTGCTAATTTCTTGGACGGTAACTTAAGGAAGAAAATGTCCTTCTGGAAATAATAAATAATTAATAGCACTTTACTGTAACAAGTGCTTTAAACGATATCGATTTCTCGTCCGAGCGCCTCAAAGGACATCTTTTCCTATCCTTTTCTTTACTCTCGTTAAATATTCTACATTATTTTCTCCTCCATCTTTTTTTCGTCGAAGCACGAACTTTCTCTTTGAGCTCACTGAAAATCACCTACAAAGGATATTCTTTAAAAAGAAAGAAAAGAGATCCCAAAATGAAAAATTACTCTTTTAAAGAATTTTTCCATTCTCTTCTAAGCTGAAAAAATTTAATAAACTCTTTAGAAACGATATTGAAGGAACAGCTAGAAAAAAGAATAAAGATTTGAGCGGGTTGTTTCCGCCTAGAAGTTCAAACACGATCTTCAGAACAACTTTCAGATTCCTTCTGGAATCACGCAGGGAAAAAGGGAGGAAAACAAGCAAGGAATGCATTTTTACATTTGCCTCGGAGCACACGACAGTAATGGAATATCTGAAGTTCGGGGTTGAGTAAACACACTCGAAATACAGAGAAATTCAGCGAAAAGAGAAACAGAGAGGGAAAAAGGGCCGCGAAGGAAGACTGGCAACTTTTGAGAAACTCGGACGTTGGAAAGTTTGGTTTTAATTAATTGCGTGTCTCGCAGATGTCCTGTTAATCAAAGGATTATTTATTCACCAATCTCGATTAACAACTTTGCACTTTGTAACAGCAAGTTTCAAGCTTCATATTTACCACTTTGCACTTTTTAGAAAATTTTTTATCATTCCTTGAATTTTTACGTTCATTCAAGTGCCCTCCCCTTGCTCACATTTTGAGAGGAATCCATTTTTCATTGAATTGGGATATGTAGGAATTGACATATGTAGAATTTGGGATATGTGAAAAAAGGGATATGTGGGCATGGATATAGGTGGAAATTGAAATATGTGGAAATTGGAATATGTGGGAATTGAGATATGTGGAATTGGGATATGTGGGAATTGGGATATGTGGGAATTGGGATATGTGGAATTTGGGATATGTGGAAATTGACATATATGAAATTGGGATATGTGGAACTGGTATATGTGGGAATTGACATATGTGTAATTGGGACATGTAGGAATTGAGATATGTGGAATTAGGATATGTGGGAATTGACATATGTGGAAATTAGGATATGTGGAATTTGGGATATGTGTGAATTGACATATGTGGAAATTGGGATATATGGAATTTGGGATATGTGGGAATTGACATATGTAGAATTGACATATGTGAAATTGGAACATGTAGGAATTGAGATATGTGGGAATTGACATATGTGGAATTGGGATATGTGGCAATTGACATATGTGGAAATTAGGATATGTGGAATTTGGGATATGTGTGAATTGACATATGTGGAAATTGGAATATGTGGGAATTGGGATATGTGGAATTTGAGATATGTGGGAATTGACATATGTGGAATTGGGATATGTGACAATTGACATATGTGGAATTTGGGATATGTGGAAGTTGGTATATGTAACAATTGATATGTGGAAAAAAAATTTAAACAAATTCCATTTTTCAATGAAGTGTGTAAACATTGATATATTATTTCTATTCCAGCAGTCCCTTTAGCAGAATAATAAACGCAGAATTATAAAGGTAGTTAAAGCATCAAACTTTAAATTAATAATTAGGAGTTGTAGAACCAACTCTTTCCTCCCCTCTGGCGATTCTCACTGGAACTTTGAAATTTTATTTCGACTCTTTCTGCTCGTTTCATTTAGCTTTTTCTCCTCGTTTTCAATGTCTCGTCCCTTTAATTTCTTTGTTTCCTTCTGTGTGTTCTTTTAATGAAGTCCCTCTTCACAATTACATTATGTTTAACTTTATAATTACAAACTTCCATTGCTCGATGAAAAAAGGGGGTAGAATAAAAAAATATTTCATCTGCGGAGAATGTGCGTAGCCTTCAATTAGGATAAACCACATGTTCTGAAATTATAAACGAAATACTCCATTCAGATATTCTCACAGAAATGGTTTTTCAATTTTTTATCTGACAAAGTTCATTTGCAAATGCTTTGTTCAGTCATATGAAGATCTAATTCTGCAGAGAACTAGGAGACTGGGTATCTGAACATATGGACATCTAGGTGTCTAGGTATCTTGTTACTTATGTATGTAATTACATATGTGGATATCTAGGTATCCGAGTATCATGTTACCTGTAGGTATCAATTTACATATGTAGATATTTAAATATGTAGGTATCATGTTACCTTATATGCATCTACTTAGGTATGTAGATATCTTGATATCTATGTATCATGTTACGTATGTGCCTCTACTTAGATATGTAGGTATCATGTTGCATGTATGTATCTAGTTACGTATATAGATATCTAAGTATACAAGTAACAAGTTACCTTATATGCATCTACTTAGGTATGTAGATATCTTGATATCTAGGTATCATGTTACGTATATGCATCTACTTAGATATGTAGGTATCATGTTGCATGTATGTATCTAGTTACGTATGTAGATATCTAAGTATACAAGTATCATGTTACCTATATGCATCTACTTAGGCATGTAGATATCTTGTTACCTAGGTATCATGTTGCATGTATGTATCTAGTTACGTATATAGATATCTAAGTATATAGGTATCATGTTACCTATATGTATCTAGCTACGTATGTAGATATCTAAGTATATAGGTATCATGTTACCTACATGTATTTAGTTACATATGTAGATATCTTGTTACCTAGGTATCATGTTACGTAAATGCATCTACTTAGATATGTATGTATCATGTTGCATGTATGTATCTAGTTACGTGTGTAGTTATCTTGTTACCTAGGTATCATGTTACTTATATGTATCTACTTAGATATGTAGGTATCATGTTACCTGTATGTATCTAGTTACGTGTATAGATATCTTGTTACCTAGGTATCATGTTACTTATATGTATCTACTTAAATACGTAGGTATCATGTTACCTATATGTATCTAGTTACAAACGTAGATATCTATATATCTAGATATCTTGTTACCTACGCATCCATGCATCTATCAGTACCTACAGACTGTAGTACCCACTCAGTACCTACTAAACAATAACAAAGAAATAAAAGACCTAGTAACACAAGCACACATCGATCTACAGACATAAAGAACTCAACATCCACACATCACACATCTCCCCACATCCTCAGTCTCCACACTCCAGAATCTCCCAATCCCCAAAATTTTGAGACTCAGTGCCTACGTGTGTATCCACAAAATAATAATCGCTCAGTACCACCCTCTCATGGTGATTTACGAGCCCATAAACGCGCCCTCTACCCTTGTAATGGGCTCGGTTACCTCGAACGCTATCCACGCCTCTACGATTATCGTCATGCCACCCATTCTTCCGATTCTACATTTTTAAGATGCACGTCTTTCGTGTCTCTCCACCGTTTTTCTTAGCTGTATCCTGTGAACGTTTCGCGAACCGGTCATTTTGTTTCGAGGGCCTTGATGAACCGGACGAACTGACTTCGACTAGTTAGCGAACAACTTTATTCTCCCGTTTGAGAATAAGTGTTATTTACAATAATTCGATATTTATCCCTTGTCATAGCAGTGGAAGGGGTATATTTTGACCCGATGAAAGTGAAAATATTTCCGCACATTCTTCCATGAATTACATAGTCACATATCGTGTGACTACAGGATGTATAATCACGTATCGATCCGAATCTCATTGACCACCGAACCGACTATGCGGAACCTTTCATTAAGTCTAAAAAATAATTTCACCATGTTATCAATCTCCGTCCCTGTAATTTCCTTTCAACTCTACTTTGAACAACCCTAATTTGCTCAACTCCAAAACAAC